CTGAGCCTTATGCTCTGGCTCTCTTGCATGTACACTACTACTGTAGATGTGTGGTTTACGCATACTTGCCACACATCGTCCAGAACCGGTGTTATGCAGGGAGTTCACTCAGCCGCATAATCATACTCACTCATACTCATAAATCTTACCATAACTTACTGTGTAGCTCCATGACTCATGGCAAGGCAACAGGCAACAGAGAAGCAAAAAAAAAAAGGGCCAGAGGATGGCGTGTCAGACAAAATCGGCTCGTCAGCTGAAAATCGAGCTTCCTCCCATCTCCTCATTGCAATCCATTGCAAAATAGATAAAAGATCACTCAGAATCCCGATCAAGCCAGGTATTGTGTACCGTGAATATCAGGATCCGTGGATGGTTCTCCTGGTTCTCAGGATCACATATCCTTGTAGCGAGTTTTTCAAGTTAATATGAGTACTCATCAAATCGATCTCAAGAGATGGACCCGCAAATGCAAGACGTCAGCATAACGACCTCTAACTAAAAAAAAAAAAAAAAAAGCGGACCCCCCCCCCCGGCCCGCCCCCATCTTGTTTGTTTGTTGATCATGATCCGATTAAGAGATCTTTGCTTTGAATTACTGGATAGGTTAGGACTACGTAAGTGTAGGCGTGGACGCGATCCTGGATGCGAATCTTGGTGGTTGCGTTTTGTGTATGTACTATTTTGGGTAGAGTGATACTTCGTGGATTAGATAGGCGAGGGATGTGTGTGCGTGTGTGTTGGAATTTGCAGAGAAGGTGTACACTCTCTACCTAGGTATAAAATGACAGGAGAGCCTGACTAAGTAGTTAATTACTACCAGTTACATGAATACAAGCATTTCAAGCGCAACGCAGGTACCTGCTTTGTACCCCGAGCTTTTTTGTTTGTGTTTGTTTGAGGGAGGGGGAAGGGGAACCCGGGGAGCTTATGTCACACAGGGAGGTGATGGTGAGGGGGAGGGGAGGGGAAGGTCTGTCAGAGGGGGGGGGGCTTATCTACGGTAAGTTATGTAGGTTATCGTGTCACCTAGGTTTACCTACAGCACGGTAGAACTACCGTAGAGCCGAACAACTGGGGATACGCCTGCTGGTGCACGCGCCCCAAGCCTCAGACTCGGACTCAACCAAAAGAACGGGGAGGGGGGAAAGAACGGAGTATAGCGCAACTTGGTGGTCTATCCATACCCCGCTTTCTGGGTATACCGGTATTCCTTCCATGCGATAAGAACTTCTGCCTTGTCCCTTGAAGGAGGGGGAGGGGGGTGGAAAACCAGAATCGCCGTTCTCGGCCGATGGATGACAGAAAGGAGGAGGTGGACAGGTGATCTAGAAGTGGAGGGAGGGAGAGGAAACAATGTACGGAGTGCAGGTTGATGCATTGACAATCCCTGCTCAATCTGAAACCACTTGATTATGCCATCAAGTCAGAAGGATGAGGGGGAGGGTCAGTCGTTCGGTTGGTACGGAGTACGGAGTACCGTACCTTGAGTTTCCTTCGCCCCCGGTAATGAGTACCGAGTGACGTGGTGGGAAAATAATCTCTATTGATAAATCTATTCATCGACTTCAGTACGATACCTACTTTAGTCGAATCTCCATCCACTAGCTAGTTGCTTTGTGACCCGACTGACCGGGCACTCCCCTCAGCTGTCCGATTGTCTCTCCCCTCCCCCTACCTTTTCCTTGGTAGAACAACCACCTCAACCACAATCGAAATCCAGGATCATCTTGGCAAAAGGGGCAAAAGGGTCCTGGGAAAACCTGATTGAGCTAGCTTCTGCCCCTCAGTGGCGGGTGGGCGCCCGCGTGTGTGTGCGTGTCTGGCAGTGGGTGGGTGTATGTGTGTGTATGTGTGTGTGTGTGTGTGTGTGTGGAGGAGGTGATGTGTGCGTTTACTTTCCACCTCTAAGTTGTTGGTGTGGGAGGGGCAACAGAAGTTTGATTCGGTAGTCAATTCTGCAGGTGGGAAGTTTACTACTAGGTAGTCTGCACACCTTATGTTTTTCGGTTCTGTTTGGGCGGCAAGGGTGATCAGCTACTGCTGAGGTACGGACTACTAACTTACACAGTATATAAGGTGGCTTTAGTATCGGTAGGCTGGCACAGTGCAATTGTTCGCGGATAAGATAAATGATTAAATTCTATTTTTCTTCAAATCCGTTTACAGTAAGTTACTCATACATTGTCCAGTGATTCTCCCCTCCCGCCGTGATTGATCTAGTAGATGACGAGCTTGCGCTTATTGGTCGGTGGGAGTGCCACGTCGATCATCCAAACACGGGGGCATTCCTGCTACTGCACTTAGTCTTGGAGCTAGTCGGGGCTACTTAATCAATCTATTCATTTTACCCGTGTGTGTGTGAACTGTTCGGCGTGGTTGCTGTAGTGGGGCTGGTGTTCTCCGATACTGCCAAGGTCGTGTAGCATTTGAGGATGATGAGGGAAATGGGTGAGCTTCCATGCGGATAAAGTGAAGATAAAATGGTTTGATCTCTGTGGAAAATGCGATATCGGCACAAGTACGATCCCTTTTTTGAAGCGATGTTCTCTGTATGTACTTGGTTCAAGTCTATACCGAGGTCTGCTATAGATGCTGCTTTATATATAGAGTGGCCTGCTATCTGTGCAGTGGTTATCATGACATTAAGTCGTCTGCTGAAGCGAATCATTGCATCAGAATAGATATGGGGAAGCTTGACTAGGTTGATTTGATCAAGGGTCTGGCAATTGAGGGGTCGTGAGGGGTCGATCCAAGAGGTGATGCATAGATATCTACTACTCATGCTCGTACTCCGTCGTAGCACAGCAAGTAGTTTGCAACTTGATAAGATGTCATACCAACGAATCGCGAGTCGCATTGGAAACCGGGCGGGAGCTAACACGTTAGTCACATTCGCCTTGAGAACACGCACAAGTCTCCTGGATCAAGCAATTGGATATGGAGAAAGTACTACCTAGTGAGTTGCGGGGCAGGGCCTGGGGTCGACCGAACCAGTCATTGCCACCACTCCCAGGAGGTACAGTACATACGTCAGTAGTGCCTAGCTATCTGTAGCTATCTGGTGGGGGTGAATCCGAGCTAAAAACCCATCGAGGAGACCTTGCCTCATCATCCTGACATACATGCAGACCTACCGACAAATATACTAGGCTTGAGCAGCTCAAAACCTGACATGGTTTACTGTGATCCGGTTCAGTCCCCTGCTGAAAACAGCGGGCAGGTCGTAGGGTTTAGTCGTACGAAGTACAGAGCAGGACTAACCAGGAAAGGGGACGGACAATCTGCCTGAGAACCCCTCAACGCCCACGATCTGAGTCAAAACGTCAAAGCGGAAAGACTAATGCATCCTTTGCATTGCCTTCGTTCTTCCAGACGAGAGTGACAGCCAGCACGATTCGCGACACGCCAGAAAGGCAAAGCGGGATCCTGCGGCGTAGCGCTGTATGTTATCTGACCGGGGGAGGGGAAGCAGTTTGTACTTGACTCTCCTCAGTCCAGACTACACCCCCCCTCACGGACTACAGTACTTCGATACGGGCGTTAGCCGTTTTGATCCCACAGCCCCGAGTTTATTGGGGCTAAGAAAGCACATCATAACCCAGCAAGTGGCGCAAGATAGACTTGCGCGTTTGAGATACAGTTCTCGCGAGATGTCATAGACAGGAAGAAGCTTCCAGTGCTTCCCGTGCCGTTTGCAGTTGGGGGCGGTCCCGGCGGAGGTGGCAAGCAGGTAGACAGTAAGTGGTAAGTAAGTGGGGAGCAATTGTCTTCTGGGTTCTTCTATCTTGAGTTTGCCCCAGGTCTTTCAATGAGTTTAACATCCTTCAGTCCAGCCGCTCCTGACCAGCAAATCTTGGTCAGGCGTGAAGGTGTGAAGTTTGAAGGAAGTCCCGGATATGGCGATGATGTCTAGATCATTGGTGGAAGGGAGGGGCTTGACAGCTTCTGTCGCTGGTGGCCAGGAACAAGCTTTTCCGACGACCTGATCGATCATAAATCTTAAATTAAGGGTAGATGATGACGATGATAGTGACGACGACATTGACGAAGATGATGATGCTGCTGCTGCTGTATTGTTGCTGGGCGGGTTAGAAATCTGGGGAGTGCACACGGGAAGTGTGGGGAGGGAAGAAAGTAATAGGTAGTCATGACTTTGTTCTGGAAGTCACGGCAAGATACCGATTGTGTTGGTGGTCTGCGCTGTTCT